GCACTTGGTTGTTTAGCGCTTTCCTTCTCTGTGAGAAAGTGAATTCCTAGCCCCTAGTCTTCACTGCGTGGTATTTACAGCTCTGCCTGAAAAAAAAATAGAAGGCAAACTATAATAACAGCATGAAACAACGACCGGTAACAAAATCTTGAGTCTGTGTGATACATTGCCGCAACACCAGTAACAACAAAGAAACACGAAGAGAAATAGAAAAACAGCATATGCGCACACTTTGACCGGAGCGGCGGCTGCCACGCTCTGACGCTAGCCCTTTGCTCCTGCTCAAATTCAAATTCGTCCACTGAGTGTCAAGGGAGGAGGACGACTATACTACTAATTTCACTAATCTAGCTTGATAGCGAAAGATCTGCTATTGCTTCTTGGCTAACAACTTAAAGGAAGCGTTTCGGCAGGATGGCTTATTCTAAATTGCGGTTTTTTGTTACGATCTCTTCTTAACTGAAGCAAATCATCAGTTCCGCTCTACAGGGGTTAATTGACACGCTAATTATGGATATGATACGAATATCATATTATCACTATTATCAGATTACCCAACTACGACCCCCTCCCCTTGACTCCTCAATACGACCCCCCAGGTGTGGCGTGCCGCACCCCACGCTTGACCCTGGTCATAAGGGCCTGTAGTAATCTACCCCAGAATGTCACAACATAAACGAGCTAAGCTCACGACACTCATTGCAAATTACGAACTTCTCAGGGACTCGCACCGTGCGGGCGGCCAGCGACGAACTTACAGTCGCTCGTTGGTGTGTGCGATTGTACGGTCGTCAAGGGCCGTTAGCACGGTTAACGTGGGGCGCCCGCACGGTTTCTAATGCTCGCCGCTTGCGCGGGAAAGGTCGGCCGCTCGCTTGCTGCTCGAGTAGGTTTATATGGGGTATTTTAACCATTTTTCTTAGGTATGTTAAGCATTTTCACATCCTGCGAACACGGACTAATGCCTGCCGCACTACCCAAACTTTCCATGGAGAAGCCCACACCATCACTCTTGATAACTGTAGCCTCACGCAGGTTCATTCCAGCTTTGCGGTGAAGGGAAACGTTGATAACACGATAGTCGACGCTTAGCCAGCCTAAACGCTGCGTCGTATCTCATGCAGGTACCGTTTACGCTCACAGTGTGTGAAAACAATGAGCCGAAGGTAGAGGTCACTGTTGGCCGCTTGCACGGGCAAATGTTTGCCGCCCGATCGAACGGACACATTGCCTGCCGCTTGCACGGTCGGTTTTATTGCGTACCGATTGCGCGGCGAGATTGCCTGCCGCTTGTACGATCAAGTGATTGCTGGCCGATCGTGCGGACGCATTGCCTGCCGCTTGCGCGGTCGATTTTATTGCGTGCCGATCGAACGGGTAGACTGTCTTCCGCTTGCACGGCATTTTTATTGTTGACCGCACGCACGGTACATCAAAAACTATACAGTGCGCTCAGGCGGAGGAGCTTTAATGAGGACCGCCCGCACGGCGCGAATCCCTGAGTTAGCGCGAACTTAGCGCGAGCCTCGCAATGGTCTCCGCAAAACTTGCACGTCCACGGGCATCGTACCGTTGAGTGACGATTGCGAACAGCCAGCACAGCCACTACGCTACATCAACCGATTTGCTGGCAAGTCTTAGCACTACATGAATGCAAATGCAATCTTGTGATAACATGTAGCTCAACCCACATTAACGACCACTTGGATTATCGTGTTTAACGTGGCCCATTCTTGTGATTTCATTCAAGATTGCTCTTCCCTTATCCCTGTCACTTATCTAAAAATGTAGAGTCGGCACGCGTGAATTCTTAGCCTCGGTACTGAACTGTGACCAAATTTTCCGTAGAGCGTCATCAACCTTGTAACGCTAATTTCGGTCGAAAATTTCGAGTGCAAGCACAACACTCATTCTTGTCAAAGACGTAAACACAGGGCAAGTGTCGAAAAAGCAAAATGATGGAAAGAGGTACGATAGTCGCAGCGAAAGTTTCTTGGTGCACGAGCAAGTGACCAAAGTGATCATACAAAGAAGACCTTGTTCTTGTCGCTGTAGGTAAAATCTCCTCCAATCGTAATCAGGCCTAACTGTCTGCCAAATTTGCATGCGCGTAGAGCCATTACTTTGCGCTGCATATGCGCACTGTGGGAGAGGGACCAGGTTGAAGAGGGAGGTAAGCATGCCATACGGTGCAACAAAGCCATAGCGACGCAAACTCCCGCCATGACAATTTGGTCCGATTGGGTTGGGGACAGACTGTATTACCAATCTATCACTGTAGCCTACTTTCACAACTTCAACAATAGGTAATTTGCAATGAGTGTCGTGAGCTTAGCTCGTTTGTTGTGACATTCTGGGGTAGATTACTACAGGCCCTTATGACCAGGGTCAAGCGTGGGGTGCGGCACGCCACACCTGGGGGGTCGTATTGAGGAGTCAAGGGGAGGGGGTCGTAGTTGGGTAATCTGATAATAGTGATAATATGATATTCGTATCATATCCATAATTAGCATGTCAATTAACCCCTGTAGACAAAGTGTGAGCGAATTCTGAAGATTCAAGGTACTAGGCTACCTAAATGAAATGGTCAAATTCCAACATGGTTAACTTTGTTTCAAAGGTGAATTAGCTATCCGTTTTGCACTCAAGACAAAGCACTACTCCTTCTTTGTCCACCTCAGGAATCCCGTTTCAGAAGACCTGCAAACTGTGGAATTAGAAGCCAACCAACATCTCGTTTTTTCTATTTTTCGCTTTTGATCGCTGTGTTTTCACCAGATATTGCTTAGAGCTAAGAAGACAAATCAGGCTCCAAACAGTCCTATGGAATCTACAAGTTTTAGGCTATCGATTCATATAAACACTGTCCGCTAAAAATGTTTTTTTGATGTAGTTAATGGGGTGCGGCACACCCGCTTAAAAGCTGCGGCTGCCGCAGCTTTAAGGGGGACTGCCGCAAACCCTTAACTTGCCTTCAGAATCTAGAAAGCGCTCCATTGCTGGTATGAGTATTGAGCGCATAGCTTCTTTTTGCTACATTGGAATTCGGAGCCGAACGCCCCACCCATAAGAAAATTATGGCCCTTTCAATATGCCCATTCAGATCAAAATCAGCCGTCAAATTACGTGTGATTGTAAAGTGCAGTCACAGAAAATCGGGCGTACATCTCTCAGAAATCTGAAAACTCTCTAGAAAAAGATGGTGTCCTCCAGAATGTCACACTTTGAGGTCCAGAGGTTAAGAGGAGGAAGAAGGGGTCATGGGAGGGGAAGGTGGTTTCGAAAGGCTTGTGCCTGACCTCTTTCTCAACTCTGGTAATGCTATCTTAGGTATATAGTTCAGGGGGGGGGGGACTTATTAAGACAGCAATTGGGGGGGGGGAGGTCGTAACCAGCGATCGTGTGCCACACCCCTTGCTTAACCCTGCTTATGACCCCCTACGGTTATGGCGGCAAGTCGTTCGGGTAGGTAAGTTCCGTTCCCCATCATATAGGAGTCATCTCTGACGTCGAATCGGAAGCACCACACTTAATGGAACTGACTTGTCATGGGAAAGCATCCTATCTCGTGCGATTTGCGTTCCATTCAATCCTTTTGCTATGTTCCTAGCTGGAACCAGTAAGATATCAGCGAGCCTCGTCCACTTTTGCTCAAAAGATTCACTCCCAATTTATTTCAGTGGCCGTATTCATCATTGATACCTTGAGGTATTCTACCTCCAGGTAGTTTTATCACCAGGGTAAAGGGGGGGGGGGTGCGGCACGCCGCGGGGGGGGGGTCGTATCGACCCAAGGTCAAAAGCGGTTTTAAGCGTAAAAGCACTGTAACTAATTTTTTAGGTGTGCCCACTCTTTTCCAACTATCTCTGACAACTCGGGGAACGTAACTGAGAGAAGTACTAAATCGACTCTTGGTTTAGGTACGAGTTTATTTTCAATAGAATTTCTTGAAAAGCAGGAGTGATAGTAATTTGGTCGAAACCATCATGTTAACTGTGTTCTCATGACACCAGCTAACCAGCAGCTTCACATCATTTTCCCAACGAAACCACGAATTAACCAATAGGAAACCTCGAAATGCTATCTTGCAAAGCAAAGTCATTGGAGGAGATCGAAACTCTAACCATTCTCATGCTTGCCCGCAATCATTGCACTTTACCAAACTTGCAGTTCAGTCTCTAGCCTTGCACCTTCCTATAACCTTATCTAAGCCGTAAACAAGTAAGCTTTCTCATAGTAAGTTGCAGAATGATCTCCCTCACTCTTCTTAACTTGCAAAACCAACACATCGTTGTTTGAAACGAAAAAGTGGTCGGGGGCACTTTTTCATTTTAAACTATGATGTGGTGGTTTCACGTCTGCGTCTCATGAAATGAAGTGCTGTTTTCATTACTCTATCTGATAAGGGAACAATGGTGTTAACCTGCTGTTTAACTCATAGTTTGGTTTGGAATGAAACAAGCATGAAACAGTTATGGTTTTCTGCTAGTTACTTGCTTGTTTCATGATTTTGTATGACCGATTGAACTGAGTGGCCGGGAAAAGATGATCATGCTTACCACGATGTAACCATGATTGAACTATCACATCATTTGTTGGTTTCGACCAAATCACTACCACTCCAGGTTTTGCAGTGAATGGATGATGATGTGACGACCGACGAGTGATGTGTGGGAAAGTGAAGATTTCGTTAATAGAAATACACGATACATTTGAACAACTTGCGTCGGAAGAGAGGAACATACACATATGTTGTTGTGGTTTCTGTGTAAAATGTACCTTTAAAAACATTTATCTGTTGCATACGCTAATATAAGGAAATGAATAGTGATTTATAAAGACGTGAAGATGTTCAGTCTGTTTTTTTAGAAGATCCGATTGAAAAAATGTTCATCTTAGCAAGTTCTTTTTGCAACAGCCGGTTCTTAATTTTCTCTGTAGCCTTTCGTGCATTTAGACCGTGAACCACCGTGTGGCGCCTTACATGGAGCTTGGCCAACTCATATTAATGCTTTCATGAGGCTGCCTTCTCTAGCTAGATTCGATGGCATACCCGGATCGAGCCCAAGTCCCGGTGCAGGATGCATCCACTGGAGTGCTAACTGTTGAAGTTTGACTGTTAGGATGTTAGGCCCATTACGCTGCATCCTAAAACATGCATTGATGGTGAAGCATACTTACACCATCAGGGCTTACGTCATGATGTTATCTAGAGACTCCGTCTTTATGTTACTCCTTTCCTCTCCAGAGAGCCTGTTAGCAGCAGAGAAACTGCGCTCGGGGTCGGCGTTGCTTGCGGGAGGATGAGAGCATTTTATGGCCTAAAAAGCTTTTGCTATAGTCCAAAAAAAAGACGGGAAATGTAGTACCTGCTAGACCTCATCCGGGACATGCAGACTGTTACTGTACTGTAACAGTGTTCGATAAAACGACAGACTATCTGAGTGTTCTCTGAAGTTTGATTCCCACTTTGCGAACCTTTGAACTGACGCAGGTATAGTATTATAGAAGCGAATCATGCTATCCTCAATATGCAAAGCTAGAGATTATCCTGGAAAGTTGGTTTATTGATGTGTAGCTTCACCATCTAGTTGTACTGTAGGCGTCTATCAAATCTAGTCAACTCCCATCTCATGATATCGTTTATCGAGACACCGATGTTGTCAGAATTACGTGATAAAGATATTGTATTTACTCTAGACATGAAATTCACACAGACGGATATGTGCGAAAGGGACGTGATTCGTTTAGGAAGTGCCCTCACATCAACGGGGTAGAAGCTTGTGCATTCGTTGTAGTTGGGAGTTCGGGGGTGGGGGGGAGGGGGGGGGGGGGAATAGGGAATGGGGGGGGGGTCGTATCCGACGGTCGTGTGCCGCACCCCTCGCTTTACCCTGTTTATCACTCAATATCAGCAAGTACCCGTATTCACAAAGTACCTTGAAGTAAATTCTCAATGTAATTTTGCTGATATTAAGTGATAAAACTACCTGGAGGTAGAATTTACCTCAAGGTATCAATGATATATATGGCCACAGGTTATAGTTTTCATCGCATTTACAATCGTCATGATCTCGCTGCAGCGGTCCCGGCTCTACTCGATGTCGTAAATAAGGTGCTAGGCATCTGTTTCATTTTCTTTCAACGAAAAGCATTAACTTACCATCAAAATGATCTATTGCTCATGACATCTTTGATGCGCCTGCTTGTGTTTGTGCATGATTTGACTTGTGCGTTTGCCGGTGATGTTTTTAAGTTGTTTATTTTATATTTAAATACTTTTCGCATGATGTACAGACCAATGTTGATCAGAAGTATCTTCTATTAAATAGGTTGTTTATTTCAAAAGCTAGCTTCCTCTAGTCTTGAAGATATCAAAATTACACGAAAACCAAAAAAAGACTAAGAGGAAATTTAGCGCAAAGCATGTGAGTAGCAAACCCAGAAACTTGCCTAAAATGCTCTTACAGAGTGCTATGGTCAAGTTGGCTTGTGATTCTCTGACCACACCCTCATCAAACTTCAATGCTCGTATTTTTTGAAAGAACGACCCACAGTTGCCTGATTCATGTGACATCAGCGTAGCGTGGCCATACAGTCTGCCTCAATCCCAACCAGTCCAAAATTGGCATGGCGAGAGTCGCTAGGGTTTCGCGGTTACGCCCACGTCCTGCTTCTCTGCTCTCTTTTATTCTTTTGCTCTCTCCGACAGCGCGCATATGTGGCGCAGACCGCTACCGCAGCGAGCGGCAAATTCACGCCGATGGTTTGGCCTGATCTCGTTAGAGCAGATTGTACCTCGCTTCGGGCACCATTCGACTCAACTCGGCGAGGCGCATCTTCTTATATATAGAAGTGCCTGTTTTGATACAAAGGGAGGCCTGATTTTCCAAATCTTACCAGATTCCGGCTTACGGTAGGTTGTCCAGCGAGTGCAATGAATAAGCACAATGAGTAACCTACCGTGAGCAAAAACCTGAAACGATTCGTAGAACTGATCTCCTTTTGTGTCCAAGCAAGCACTCCTATACAAAAAAAGATGCGCAGCGCCGAGCTGAGTCTAATGATGCCCTCGGATCAAGACTTCGTCCAACGGTGATGTCACATGAAGCGGGCAACTGTGTGTCGTGTTTTCGAGAAAACGAGCGGGATTGCATGGTGAAAATTAAGCTTCAACTGTCAAAAGTTTGCAGGATTTGTTTACATCTTTGCGGCGAGTGAGCTGAAATCTACAATGCTGTAGAGAAACTTCCAGCTTTTTAAAAATTCAGAATTCTTCTGTATGGACTGTGATAATTTGTCTGATATTCTGACGTTTCTTCGGATCTTAAAGAAGGGAACACTGTCTCTCAGCGCGCCTGGAGAAGAAGCGGCGATCCCTTGGTGGAACTCACGCGTCCCCACATTCTGGCATTTAGTAAAAAAATATGCAGTGCTTCAAGCTAGTCGTCTTGAAATCTACGAATAATGAATAAATTGTGATTTTTTTGAAATTTGTTTGATTTTGACTTGTGTGTGCAAAAGTCTAAACAACCCGACTTTTGGTTGAACATATTCATTTCTAGAACGGTTTCATCGCAATAACATCATGACTAATAATAAGCGGCTAAGGATGTTTACGTCTTTTCGTCTGTGTGTGTGTGTCTGACCGTTACGAAATTCGCAGTGCGTGTTTCAGCCATCGTCCTGAGTCCAAATTTTGCACGGCGTCTATCAGCTTACAAGTCCATTATGCAAAGCAAGAGCGAATCCGTTAAGTGATCCTTTTGAAACGCTCAAAAATTGCGCTTCAAACGGATCCACTTGTTTGCCAGCCGAATTGTGCCTGTGCACCACTTTTTGCAAAGTCATGCATATTTTTGGCAAGCTAATGTACAAGCGTGGACTCTAACCCAAAAAAAAATGAACAAAAGTTTGACACTTTACTAAGGTGACGCCAAAAAGAATTGAATGCGTCTATGTACGATTTGCCAAAATTTCACCTGATCATCTGGGAAGATTTTTGCACAGGATGTGGCTTACGGTGATTATTGTCCTTAAGGGCAGTGGGTCGGCAGGATGAGACCCGTGGCAAAACAAGGTTACAGAGTAGGAGTCCCCATAATGGAACCTATGGGCCGAAGTTCGGTCTTTCTCTGCCACTTCTAACCCCCGAAATTTCAAAGCGAAAGCAGCGCTCATCTCCTGTCCTCTCCGAACCCACCCACCCATGGACGAGTGATTTCACGGTCAGAGCGCGCAGCCGCAATGCTATAAGCGGGAGGTCCCGCTACGACTCTGCGTCTTCGCCATGACGGTCTTCGAGTTCACTCGTCCGTGGGGTGGGTGGGGTTGGAGAGGAGAGGAGATGAGGGCTGTTTTCGCTTTGAAATTTCGGTGGTTAGGAGTGGAGAGAAAGATCGAACTTTGGCTCATTGGTTCCATTATGAGGGCTCTTACCCTGTGACCTTGTTTTGCCACGGGTCTCATTCTGCCGACCCGCTTCCTTTAAGTCGACTATCAAGTCATGAAAAGTCCAAAAACCTATTTAAATATGCATTTGTTCTTCTGGGAAGAGTTTCATCCAAGGAAAATTACCGATCTCTCATGAAAAAGCTATAGAAATGAGTAGTTTTTACGAACTATTCGATGCCAATCGAAGGCATGAGTAAGGCACACAGATAGTGGGACCAGTGCGAGCCTCTGCGAACCAGAGGTGACGCACTAGTATTTCTATATTCACCGTTTCCTCTCTAAACCAGCAGCGATAAAGTCAAAATTTAGACTCAGTTGTCGAAATCCTCATGTGTTCTAGCGCTTTGCGGTCAACGCTGCCCTCTGCTCAACGACTTACAAACGGTGTTTTTTCTTTTTCGAAGGTTTCCATTTCTCTGAGAACACCGAAGACCTCGACATATTACAATCCGTACATCAAAGTTTAGCTACTGTTTACAGCTACGTACTCATTGTCCACCAACTCTCTTTGTGCTCCATTGCTGGGTTCTTTGCCATATTTCTTCCCGCTGTGGTCAACCACAACGCCGATCGTTTTCTGGTGAACGCAAGAAAGGAAACGGTTGCTAAAAGTTCTAGTCCGACATCATATCTCTTCAAGAAAATTTATTATGCTTTTGACAAAAACACAAAGTGAAGAGGCCAGAACAGCGGGATATACACCGCGACCTGGATTTCCTTGTAGTACGTATAGCAGTCGAGTAACGTCAAAGAGGAAAGAAAAATAGTTTAATCCTATAAGTTAGAATCTGATGACAAATCTAGCAAGCATTTTCAACAGCATCCTTCATGATGACTGAGTTGATTGATTTTTGCTTATGTCACTCAGTGACTCCGATTGTTGTGGTTTTTGTGGATGCCCATATTCTAGGACTCAAAGCGTCGCAAAGGGGCTTTTTACATAAAGAAGAACAAACGTACTACCCGTTAAAGTTTTGAAAAATGCTTATTAGCGTTTCACTCGCACAATCTGGACATAGGAAATGTTCGCTTTCTTCTCTACAGCCTGCAGCTTGAAGCTTGGAAATGTTAATGCAAAGATAAATTGTCTTTATAATCCTAATCCCAACTCGAAAACGTGATAAAAAACAATATCAATTTCATTGATTAGTCTCGATTTCCAAGTATCACCTCTCATCTCTCCATCCTAGCTGCATGCTGGTAAACGATTTCTATCATTTTTGTTTGTTTTATGATGTCAATGGATTTTTAGAGCCAAAAGTGCCTTAGTGCGAAACTCGTCAGGTCTCGGGCAGAGTTTACGCGATTTGATCGTTGCAGTTGATCGCAACAAGACAACTGTAACAATATCGTTGCATGCCGATCTTCTTGCATCTCGGTTGTGATAGTTTTCCAACAGACTAATCGTGACTGGGTATCACAACCGAAATACAAGGATATCGACATGCAATGAACTCGTAACACCTGTCTTGAAGCGATTGAATCGTGAGATCAAATCGCGTGAACTCTGCCCGAGACCAAGGGGAAATTAGGTGTTGCCTTCAACGTAAGAGACCACTTTCGTTTTTAGCAATCATAACTTATAACAACGGGCTAAGGGTTGTTTACGTTTGTGTGTGTGTGTGAATCTCTGTCCGTCACGAAATTCGTAGAGCGAGTTCCAGCAAAAGTCTTGAGGTAGAATTTTTCTAGTAGCAGCCTATCAGCATGTGGGAAAAAGCAAAAGCACAAGCCGATCCGATAATTGAAACCTGTAAAATTTGCGCCAAACGGATAGACGCGACCTTTTGCGCGCCAAAATGGGCCTGTAATTGGACTTTTTCCAAGTCGTGGATTCGTTTAGCAAGTAAATCTGCAAACCATGGATTCTGGCCCGAAAAGTGAGCAAGAAGTTTACTTTCACGCAAAATTGGTGTCAAGAAGAAATGATTTAGTAGATGATCAATTTGTCAAGGATTTACCTGAGAATATGAGAAAGTTTTTGCTCAGAGGTGTGACTCATGTTGTCATCATCCTTATGGCGACTATCAAGCCATTATACTCCAGTAACTGATTCAGAACAGCATTTAATTTTTTGCAGAACTTTCTTTCCTTCAAAGTCACCGATCTTACATGAAAAAGCTTTTGCAATGGGTAGTTGTTTACATTTCATTCGTGATGATCGTCATCGCGAGGTAAGTCTCAAAGGCATCATTTTGCGACTATGAGGAAGGCATGTGGATAGTAGAGTCAATGCGAGCCTCTGCGAAGCAGAGGTGACGCACTGGTCATCCCAGACAATAACTTGGACGAGCTGCAGGCCTTAACGGCTTTCCGGGCGAGCGGCGAGCTTTGATTTGTGGGTGCGGCTTTCTAGCGAACGAGCGGCGTACCCTCGCTACCGAGCTCGCGAGCGGCGGACTTAATTTGACCAGCGGCGGCCCATCCCCTCGAGCGGGTGGGCGGCGATATTCTTTGGCCTTGCATGAAAGCCACAATCACTATACCAAAATTTCCGACAGCCCACCTAAGTCCAGGACCAAGTAGTCCTATAGACTCAACCGAGACCCGGAACCCCATTCGCTAGGAACCTGACGCTACCTAACTTTTGCCGAACGACGCAAATGCTGAAGGTAGCCCTATCACCGGGCGCATCTCACGCGAGTAGCATTCTCTCCTACAACATGCAGTAATTGTGGCGTCCAGCAAGACCCGGGGCCAGCCGGAGTGATATTGTAGAGCCGTCCCCTTTAGAGCCGCGGTTTGTTCGAGAACTAAGTATGCAGTGCGCGTAATAAGGCCCTGGGCTCGCCCGAGTGCCTTTTCCTAAGCCGCGGTATTCTGATAAAAGTAATTCCCGCAGTCTGTCCCTAGCGCTAACATTGAGTTGCGGGTGGCCAAAAAAATAAATCTAGGGTAGCGGATGTTCAGTCCAAGAACTCAACGCCCACGCACTGCCGAAAAGTACCGTTAGGGGTCGCAAGTGCTCACATGATTGTCTGAGGTGTCTGCCTCACACACTCAGGGATTCGCGCGTGCGAGGGGTTCTCTTACTTCAGACATTGAGAGCCACGAGCCGCGGCCTCAAAAGGCCTCCGGCCCGCCCACGGCCTTATTTTGGGCCCGTGTGCGGCCGAACCGCTGGAGGAAATGGGCTCACCGGTTCAGCCGCGACCCTTAATGACAGGGCAAAGCATTGCAGCGGCTGAGCCGCGAACCAAAACCAGAGAAATGAAGGCCGCGGCTCTGCCGCTCTTATAGTGTCTGAGCGTAAAAAAAACTCGCGTGGAATTTGAGGGTTATGAGGAAGAGTAATGTGGCTCTGAAGATCTCGGGCCAATGCTGCAGGGACTCCACGTTTTATCCGAGATCCGAACCAATATAATTCAAAACGAAGTTAATAAGGTATCTTAGAGAGAAGGGAGTGCATATCAACAACGTTCTTTGTATCGGTTTGTGCTGGAACGAGTAAGTTTTAAAAAGATTTGGCAAGTGTGCGATCTACAAGGTGCATTAGATCACGCCCCCCCCCCCCCCCCCAGATCCAGGAATTCTCCTTGCGAATGAACCAAAACGGAGGAAGAAATGAAGCATCAAAAACCTCCCAGAAGAGATTGAGGAAGTGTTGAAAGGTAAAAGACAAATTAGAGGCAAGGTTTGACAATATTACCAATATGTAGATTTTTTAGAAGACATGTTGGGTCTCGGGATGATGAATTCAAGGCCTGGATAGACATCAATCTTGAAGATTCTAACAATAAGTGAGCTTTTAAAGGCAGCGTCCAGGCAGATCTGGACCTATGAGGCTTTTACGTGGAAAGTACTTTTAGGGCTCTAACTAAGCCACTGCCCAACCGGCAGCTCAGATAGTGCTCTAACGGCTGAGATATTCCCCTCGAAATTGGACCCGCGATCGTAGGTCGCATATTCGAGGCGCAAAGCGTGTGTCCTGGCGCGAAACTGCCATGAATCCATGCGAATACGATCGCGAGGTCCAGTTTCGAGGGGAATATCTCGGACGTTAGACCACTATCTGCGCTGCCGCTTGGGCAATGCCTTAGTTAGGGCCCCAAAAGTACTTTCCACGTAAAATACCCATAAGTCCAGATCTGCCTGGACGCTGCCTTTAAAGATCGAGAGTTGTTGTGACTACCAAATAATTCATTAAAGGTTTTACCAGAACCTAGGAGAGACGATTGAAGAAAGAGGCAAAAATTTGAATGAACTGATACAGCAGCAGAAGGACTGGCGACCTCACCTCTTCAAGTGTCTGCAAATGGCACTGTACGTTCAAGAAAATCGGTTTCACCATTCTACATATTTATTTCTCAAATTTAGGCGAGATGTGCGATCTTACAGTTTCGAGTCGGGGAAATGGCTCCCTAGCGATGTGAGAACATTATACAAATAAGCAATTTAATATTTATTTTATGTAATTCAGCGACAGAAGCGTGCGGCACCAGGAGATGAAAATGCGTCAGAAGTTGGAAGAAAAAAAATGAGAAGATTCTAGAAAGAGTTTTGGTACGAACAGTGCATTTTTTCGCGTATGTGTAGATGCGTTCTTGCACCTTTTTGCCCTCGAATGTGGATTGGATGAGAATGTGGAATTGTTGTTTATTTTCTTGCTTTTAATTTCGTTCCGATTTATGTGCTGTTTCACTTTATAACGCTGAGCAAGCTCATTGCATTTGCTTTTGCATGTGGTTAGCTGTTGTAATAAACTATAAGTCGAATAATTCAGCATATCTGTGTGTAGCACAAGAGAGGTGAGGTTATCAGCGCAACGACAATAAGCTGTCAAACCCTGCAGACTTCAAAAACAGCCGGAATATCTCTAGGAGAGCGGGACAAGGTATGGATATGAGCCCGCCAAAGGCACTCCGCTCGTCCAGTTTTATGCGAGCGGACGAGCGGAGTACCTTTACCGGGAGAGTGGAGGAAGTACGATGATCGCTCGCTAAAGGTACTCCGCTCGCCTGCTTTATATCTGCTCGTCCAGAGGACGAGCGGCGGAAGGCATGATCGCCCGCCCGGTAGAGGCCTGCCGCTCGTCCGAGTTATTGTCTGAGGTCTATAATGCACCAATTTCGCTTAAGGCCTAAGGCATACCTCACACGATTTTAGTCGCCGCGCGATTTGGCACTGCAGCGACTCTCCATAGCTGGTCGTAAACGCACTTAGCTTGGGCCAGACTTGCTGTGTCTGTTACAATTTACGGAATCTACGCATCAATGCATCTGAGAGCCTCGCATGCTTAATTTCTAGACATTTGGCAAATCACCAAGTCGCGAGGATGTGGCGATTTCGTGAAATCGCGAGAGGTATGCCTTAGGCCTAAGGCTAAGGGAATATCTCACGCGATTTCAGTCGCGCCGCGAATTGGCAATACTCCAATTGCGCATAATTGTAAGGGGTTTCTAAATGTATGAAATATACACTACCGCTCACAAAATGTGCAAAATTTCCTTGAATTTCGCGAAATTCCGGAAAGTTCGCGAAGTTTCGCAAAATTCCAGGAATTTCGCTGAATTTCCGTAATTTCGCGACATTCACGGAAATTTTGCTTATTCCGTGAGCGGTATTGTAAGGTATTTTATCAACTTACCAAAACTAAATATGCTGTGCATTTAGGGTCTGCCAGTATCAAATTTGAAGGTATCTGGCAAGTTGCCAGATCGCGTTACGACTGAAATCGCGTGAGGTATGCCCTTAGCCTAAAGGCTCATTGAAAGTTAGTCCTAAATTTTGCTTAATTGCACTGATAACGGCAAAGCATATCACTAGAGCTTTGAACGAAGATTAGAGTCAACTTCATTTTTCATTCTCACCGTCGGTCTATTGTGGTCCAACTTCGAAGACACCTCGAGCATGTTCTATTCAATAGGTGCTTCCTTTCGTCAGCTCGTTGAACTTAGAATCAGCAAAAACAGTTATGCAAGTTGCATTTTCAGCAGAACATTGTGATGATTTCTACTTGCGTATCAACATCATCCTCATTCGACGAACAGATGATGCAAGAAGTGTTGGATCAAACAATCGAGGTTAAACACTCTTTGTCCATATTGAAGACTTGGGTAGATTTCAGGACACATGCCGAAATTTTGGTCTGCTGTCCCCATACAATAATGATCTCACTCGAGGAGACCAGGAAGTACAAAATTCAGGTGGATGAAAAGACGAAAGCTTGAAATATGTTAATTGCTGCAGAAATCGTTCTTATAGAACAAAATCTGAAAGTGTTGAACACCATAGAAGATTTGACAGTTGACGAGGATTGTGGAATGACATATGACGGAATGATCTGCAAAGAGAGAGCGAAAAAGTTCCCGACGTCCTACTATCACGTCGAAGAGATGAATAAAGGACTAGGTAAGTTACAGATTCCTTGGCTGTTTTGGAAATTTGTTTTTTTTTGGTTTTTTTTCGTGTTTGGGGCAACTGCGTTAAAAGACTAGCCATCACTAAAACGTCATGAAGACATGAATTATTTTAGTCGGTTACGCTCCTCGCCTGGCAAAAATTCCATCGCAGTATCAACTTGAATCATTGACTGAGTTGTACATGTGCGGTTATCCTTCGATGAACAAATGGCAGGATTGCTTTGGACACTTATCCCGAGGCTAAATCACCTTCAGTGATTACAAACCGCATGAAGGAGACTTGGAGGTTGATGAACCTTCAACAAACATTCCACCAGATCGTATTGCTCCTGTAACAACAAATATTTGCCAAGTGTTTTCGCAATATGTGTCCGAGATATTGTACTAGACATCTATGGTTTTGAGCGTTGCACGTTCTAATGATAAATGCAAGATTTGACCTATTTCATAGAAATTTGAGGCCATCTGCATTGTATACTTGGGTCGAATCAATAGAAATTCGATCATTCGAATAAAACATTCGAATATATTCGTATTCGAAATTCGATATTCGGAGTTCTTCCATTTTCGAATAATATTCGAAACTCGAATAATTGAGAAAATGGGGTTTCGAATAAAATTCGAAACTCGATTAATCAAAAAACAGGGTTTCGAATAAAGTTCGAAAACTCGAATATTCAAAAAACGAGGTTTCGAATATTATTCGAAAACTCGAATAATCAAAAAACGAGGATTCGAATATTATTCGAAAACTCGAATAATCAAAAAACGGGGTTTCGAATAGATTTTATTCGAATGTTTTATTCGAATGTTTACTCGAATTCGTATTCGAATGAACTCCGTATTCAGATTATTCGACTTTGTTGCAGAGCCAGCTGCAGAGTATCAAGCTCACTTCGTCCTCGTTTTGCAGAACTCGGTAATGCATCTTTTGCAACCGTTATGACCTCTGAACTTTATGGAGAGTCGCATTCTTCCGACTGCTTGAGACAGTAAAAAATCACATGTGGATTTAAATAGATGCTTCTTCGACCAATGAGATTGTTCGCACTGCTATTGGCACTAAATTTGTAAAGAAGCTATCGAATTCAAGCTCATGTTCCGAGTTCATATATTGAAAGCGTTTTGAAATGCCTGTTCTTCTTTTTTTTGCATTGCTCGTGCTTGCGGTACGCAAAGCCCACACTAGTGAGCACTCTTGCTCGCATAAATTATTGCAAAACTGCCTATTCGTTACCTTGGAGTTTTTTGCGAGTTGGTGTATCTATCATAACTTATAATAACGGGCTAAGGATGTTTACGTGACTTTGTGTGTGTGTGAGTGTGTCTGTTACGAAATTCGTGGAGCGTGTTCCAGCCAGCGTTCTAAGCCCAAATTTTGTGTAGCGCATGCTACCTTCATGAAAGTCCATCATGCAAAAGCACGAGTAGATTCGTCGAGTGGATCCCTCAGAAATTGCGCGCCAAACGGGTCCACCTGGCTTCTGTACCTTCTGGACCGCAAAATTCGGTCCGTATCACTACTTTTTGCAGAGTCGTGGATGAGTTTGGTAAACAAATGTGCAAGCGGTGGAGTTTAGCCAGAAGAGTGGTCGAAAGTTTACTACATAACGAAAACGGCGCCAAAACGAATTGGTTGTGTAAATGGTCAATTTGCCAAGGTTCTAGCTAAGCGTTTAAGAAGATTTTTCATCAGAGATGTAGCTCACGGTTACTATTGCCTCTATGGCGACTACCAAGGTGTGACAAATCCAAAAAACTATCCAAATTTGCGTTTGTCTTCCTGCGAAAAGTTTTATCCACGCGAAATCACCGATCTCACGTGAAAAGACTTTCTAAATGAGTGGTTGTTTACATTTTATTCGTGGTAGTCGGCATAGGGCAGTAAGTTCCAGTGCCACGATTTTACGAGAATGAGTAAGGCACATAGATAGTAGAGCCAGTGCGAACCTCTGCGAAGCAGAGGTGACGCACTGGTATATATATAAAACTCAAACACTGTATCGTGTTTGTTAGGATGTTTGTGGCTTATAGACTCCTTTGTATGTGAACCAAAGAGGCTGAATTTTGTTCCCCTATAAACAAGCCACGGCGCAAAAGATAGGCTACTTTTTTCGACAATTCGCTGGGTCCTCCTATCGATTTATTGATTTTGTTTACTAAAATCTAGGAAAATGAAGGCTATACCATTCATTTCTCCAAGTGAGTAGTAAGGGGTGGTAGAGATCATTCACATTTTGCGGTGAGGAGCATGCGGTGTCATGAAGCGAGCCGGTCAAGAAAGAAGACTATTCACCACGGATACTACACGAGCGCTAAAACTGACATGGAGGTGAAGCAGGAGAGAACAGAAGATATGAACTGAAGAAAGTGGAGGACTGGTAAGTATACATCTTGAAGCACACCCTATGCTGGGCCATTCTGGACTCTCGGCCCGGGCGGGACCGGGAACCGCAACTAGTATTGAGTAAAGGACATCGCAGTTGTAGTGCAGGATTAGACGGTTTAGATCGCCGTACGCGATTTGCCAGTTACGAGATGTCTTCAGATGTATAATGGCAGCTTACCACAAATGTTTAGCGTGTACAACATACTAAAAAGATAAATGCCCTGCATTCTGTACTTTCAGACTAGGTTTTAGACAATTTGAGTATTGCCATACCAGTCGCCACTGAAATGCCTGCAGTATGCCCGGGGTTATAGGGGCATTTGTGCTCGCCTCGCGAAGGAAACCACATGCCCTCGTCCACGACTAGCTTATACCACACAAGACGAAAGTCTCCGATGAACAGACAATGTATCGTATAGGCCGTCCGCGCTGGGCGCGGAGAGTGCGCAAGGTGTGCACTGCGTGTCACTCCTCTTCCTTCGTGCACTTTCGCCGCCTGTTTTCTCTACGTCTCTTTCAGTCATGAACCACCTTCAGTGGACGCAACCGCGTTGCTCTCCGAGCACAGCGCGGACGGCCTATAGCATTTGTGGAATTTAAGTACATACATGGCCACCTTATTGGTTCAAAAGATCGCACACCTACCACTATGAATTCGAACAGCTCGTTAGGTGCTTACACCAAGTTGCAGTGTTTCTCATTTTTAGATTTTAGCTCCAGCCGATTTTTGGAAAATCTTAAGCTACGAGGTTGGGAGTTGGTACAAAGGGGTAAGTGAGGGTGCTGATTAAAAGCGAAATCTATTTTATAAATTTCAGCAATTTTTGGAAAATTTTGAGCTAGGAGTTGGTATAGGGGTTACTAGGGGGCTGATTATGATTGAATCGGCTTTAGCCAGATATGTCGGCAAGTTTGAGATGTGATTGCCTTAGTTATTCGATAATTCATTCGAATGTTTATTCGAAATTCGACTTCCAATGTTCGAATATATTCGATATTCATTCATTCGATATTTTTGATTTTCCGAATTTATTCGAAATTCATTCATTTATTTTTGATTTTCCGAATTTATTCGAAATTCATTCATTCGATATTTTTGATTTTCCGATTTTATTCGATATTCGTTTATTCGAGATTTTTTTGATTTTCAAATTTATTCGATATTCGTTTATTCGAAATTTTTCTTCTTCGAATTTATTCGATATTCATTCATTCGATGAAAAATTATCGAATTATCCAAGTATACTACATTGATGTGAACTGTGTAAGGTTCCGTTCTTCTAGAATGATCATCAAAATCATTCGCAGAACAATCCGGCGCTCGATTATACATGCACATTGTTCGAGATAAATTACAAGTAGCAACGTGTAGATACATTAGCATTAGTTCTGAGTTTGCTTCTAATTCTAAACGGCACTTACATCTCTTTTTCAGGACATCTAACTCTAGGCGGCATTTTGAACACTTTTTTTAAGAGAGCTTGGTAAAACGAAAAATCAAGTTTTGCAGGTAGACACAAACTTATACTAATTTTTTTGAATATAACGTAAATAACATACGATTTAGAACAGCTTTTTTTCGCTTGCTTCGCTTTTTTGCCTGTTACGATTAGCAAATTAATTCCTTGACAAAGTAGCTAAAACAGCTTGCATGCTAGGTATTATACTTGGGTAATTCGAAAATTTTTCATGGAATGAATGAATATCGAATAAATTCGAAAAGGAAGATTTTCGAATAAACGAATATCGAATAAATTCGAAAATAAAAAACCTCGAATAAACGGATATCGAATAAATTCGAGGTTCGAAAATTCTCGAATGAATGAATTCCGAATAAATTCGGAAAATCAAAAATATCGAATGAATGAATATCGAATATATTCATTGGAAGTCATTGGAACATTGGAAGTCGAATTGCGAATAAATTATTCGAATGATTTATCAAATAACTAGAGCAACCATACATATCTCAAACTTGCTGACATATCTGACTGAAGCTGATCCATTCATAATCAGCACCCTCGTATCCCCTATACCAACTCCTAGCTCTTCCAAAAGTCGCTGTAATCGATAGAATAGATTCCGGGTTTAATCGGCATCCTCATTTACCCCCTCCTCTCCCCCCTCCCCCGCTCCCCCCCTGTACCAACTCCCAACCTCGTAGCTGAAGATTTTCCAAAAATCCAAAATATGTAAAGTAGAGTTTCATTCATAATCAGCACCCTCACTTACTTTCTTTTACCAACTCCCAGCCCCGCAGCTTAAACTTCTCCAAAAATCGAATTCGAATATTCGCGAAGCGAAAACAAATCTCCCTATAGCCCCGGGCCAATGGCGGTCGCAGGATTTCGGACGGGGAGGGGGGCGACGAAAATTTTTTCAGATGAAGGTGCGTGGCGAGCCACGCACTCCGAAAAAATTTTTGGGGTGCTTCTCAAAATTTTTGCGGGTCCCCAACCTCTGAAATCTGGAAAAAGGGGGCGTGGCTGACGCCACACCCCCGAAAATTTTTTTTTATAAGGCTAATTTGAATTTTTAAAAAATTTTGAAAAATATCTCAATTATTTACAAAAACAAACAAGTTGTTTGCACATTTTTACAACCCATATAGGTAAGTTTCAAAAATTTCGCGACCCATTCTCGGAGGGGGGGATCCGCCCCCCCCCCTCCACCCCTGGCATACTGCGGGCATTTCAGTGGCGATATGGTTTGGCAAACGTCAAATTGTTCGAAACATATTTTAAAAGTACAGAATGCAGGGCATTTATCTTCTTAGTAACTTGTACACGCTAAACATTTGTGGTAAGCTGGCATTACATTTGAAAACATCTCGTAAGTGGCAAATCGCGTACGAC